CCCACACACACACACAAACACACACACACACACCCTCCCCTAAACCATCCCCAACAACACTCCGGTCCATACAACTAGCACTCGATAAAGTCCATAAATCCAATCGGCACATTTCTTTGATACCCGTCACTTCTTTCAATCTCCAACCCCTCAAGCCCCCATCAATGTTATAACCAAACTATAACACGAACCCCACCTCCCCCGTTTTTCTTCTTACTCCATACTAATAATCATACTATACATTAAAAAATCATAAATGTCGGAACGATGAACAGAATTAAGTGGAAAACAAGACGAGGTTTCTAAGAAAGATGACATTGGTAAAAGTACAGTCAGTTATATTTTCAGTGACGAATGATGAAGAGAGGATTACATTGAATGGACAACCAAAAAAACAGCACATGCATGACTCTAACCCCTAACCACTAACATACAGTCCGCCGGATGGGACTATAAATGGTGGCCCGTGTGAGAACTGTCCAATCTCGCACGAAAAAGATCCCTCTGAGTTTTTTCGAAAAGAGTAGGCGCGTAAACGCCGACACAGAGGATAATAAAAAGGTTTATTCCAAATTTTCGGCCATTTAGAACAAGGGTATCTTTGTTAAGACATTTAGAAGGACTTCAAAATTATATTTACAAGCCATTTTTTTTATAATAGTTAGGAACTGGTGTTAATGTTGGCGACTTTCTACCTCACAACCGGCCCAGACTTGGTGCTGCTATACGACTAGTGTTAGGATAAGGCAACATTAGGCCTAGGAGCCGTCTTACAAAAACTAGACGTATACAGTAAATACATATAGAACAGACGGCACCTTCTCTCCCGTCTCCCTTTTCTATTCTTTACTCCATACTTTATCCCTACTCATTTTCCTTCCTTTTCTTCGTCTGCTGGATAACCGAACTACTCGGTAGTGAAGCGGACGTTAAACCTATCAATCAATCAATCAATCAATCAATGTTGCGGTATATGTGCTGTATCATTCAAGTGATATGACACTATATTTACATTTGCCCCCGCGCCGTCCCATTACAACAGTGTTAGAGGGCAAGTGTAATTATATAGGCTATACTTACAACTGCTCAACTATAATTACAACTGCCTGTTTCAGGTGTAGGAATATGTAAACAAACAAAATGGCCGCCTGAAATGTATTTTTAGGCAGGGCAAATGGTTTTTGAAGGAATATGTCTTAAAAAAGAAAAATATGTAAATATAAAAAATACCCGGTTGTCTGGATGTAATTATTGTTGATATGATTACAAGTGGCCTCTGGCTCAAAATAGATTTGCCAGATTGACAACCATGGCCAGTTATTGTTTAAATAACTGGCCATGTTTTAACAAATGGTTTTATTACAAATAAAATGCCTAAAAAATATTTAAATATTTAATTATTTTGTAAAATCGACTTGAAAAAATAAATAAACAAATAAAAATTAAAAAAACTCACTATAATACAATTAACACAAACAATTCCGCACACAATTTCTATCTGCTGTCGTCTGCAAGTACAAATGAATATGGACACGGATTCCGACCAAGAGAGCTCTATGGGCGACTATGGTGTAGCAGGAGTGAACTTTGGGATAGGAATTCCGGATGAAATATTTAATAATGATCTGCCTTCAAGCGACGAAGAGCTGTTACTAACTCTGGACTTGGAAACCTTGCAACAGCTGACCATGGTAAACGATACGGCGAGCACAGAGTCAGAGGCGATGCCTGCTAACACAGGGGTAGGGGATGTTTTAACTACCTACGAGGAAATTAAAATAACAGAAGAGTTAAAGAGACCAGCGATCTTGGATACATCACCAGAAACACCAGCACCCCCCCAAAAAAGGTTTAAAACCACCACAGCAGAGGAAATGGAAGGCTTGTTTCAGGCAAGACAGGCCCCAACTACAAAGAAAAACACCGCCTGGGCACTTTGCATTTTTCAAGGTAAACACAAAAAAATGATATATATATTTTTTTTAATAATAAAAGCAAACTATTTTTAATTAAAAAAAATGAAATAATACTAGCATCTTCTATACTCCGCTTCTGTTCGTGGTAGAGCCTTGGGTATGAGTTCTGTAAATATTACAGGTTATCAATCAAAACAAATGGATTGAATTTCGTCAACCACATATTGTTTTAATTGTCATACGAAAAGCAAGTCAAGCAATATTTGTAAATTACAGAATGGAGTGTGGAAACGTATGGCGAAGACATGAATTTTGAATCCGTGGACCCCGGAACCCTATCCCAGCACCTCATGATTTTTTTTGCCGAGGCGAGGCCTGCCCCCAAAAAAGGACAGAACAACCCTGAAGCTGTGTACCACAAAAACGAGTTGATAAACATAAGAGGGGCAATAAATCGCCATTTAAGTAACTTACACAGGAACATAGACATTGTAAAAGATAAGGAATTCAAGACATCCAACGGGGTTTTGGATGGCCTGCTAAAAGAGCGTGTGCGACAGGGCATTTCAAAACCGACAAAACACAAGGAAAGAATTGATGTCGAGGACATAGAAAAAGTCTCCACTTACCTCAGTAAAGGTGCCTCCTCCCCCATTATCCTAAGGCAAAATGTGTGGTGGAATTTGACTGTCCACTTTGTAAGTCATGGGGGCGAGTTTCACCATCAGTTACGCACCAACTCGTTTGATTTCCACAATGACCAATCTGGGGAATATGTGACACTAAACTTTGAAACAGTTGAAAAAAATCACCAGGGCGGGCTAAAAGATGCAGAATCTTCGTACGAAAAACGCATGTATTCCACGGGGTCAGACAGCTGTCCTATCAAAATGTTGAAACTCTTGTTAGAGAAAACCGATCCACAGGCGTCAAATCTATTTAATCAGTACAATAAGAAAGCAATGGAAAATCCCATGGAAACTGTCTGGTTTGTCAACAAACCATTGGCCAAACGCACATTTCTGAATATGATGCAAGAAATCTGCAAATCAGCGTCCGTTGAAAAAAAATACACGCCGCACTGTTTGATGGCTACCGCAATCCAGTGTCTCAGTGACGAAGGGTTCTCGTCCAAATACAAAATGTACATCGTGTTCATGAGTAATCACAGATGTGAAGCTAGCCTCCGCTCATATTCAAGAAACGTCNATGATACAATTGGAAGCATGGTCCCTCTACAAATAGAACACAATACATCTCCATCACACACGCAGGCATAACCGCATAGAGAGATATTAGCCAGGTGACATAGGACTAATAGTAAGCATGATAAGGCAGCTCATGCGAATTTCTTCAAATTGTATTGACTAATGTATATGCTAATTGTATTGATTGTACAAATTGCAAATATTTGTACTGTAAAAACGCTCTAGATTTGCTTATTCTAGCTAGATAGGGCGCTATATCAAATGTTGTATATTAGCATTATAGCCAAACCGGCCCCAACCAAAGTGCAGAAAACAATCTTGCCTACTTTATTCAGTTTATATTTGTGTTTCTTTGACTTATAATAAGTTTTATATTTCTTCGATGATAGGTATCATATTCAAATTTTCTTCTACATATATAACTAGCACGCTGTCGATTGATAAGGGTATCAATTTTTAGTATGGTGGCAAACTTGCCAAATTTTCTGCGTAAAAGAGCAAAACCACATTTACGAATTGAAAGTTGTTACTGTTTTGTTTTATTTTAGAAATAAGCTCGTTAAATTTAAACTAAAATATAGTGCATAATGTGTCACAAAAACGCACAACAAAACAATTAAATGAAGTTATTGTTTTACCTGGTACAATTTGACCCGGTGTATCTGTCGGTACAGGAACAGATATAATATGATCCAACCCTATTGCAGGTTGCGTCGTTTGTTCAAGGAGATATCAGACAGGCGTCAACTATTCCAAGTAGATGGAAATAAGCGTTTCAAGCTACACGCAAATATTTACCACAATAACCGTATATTGATATCAAGTTTTGTGATAAACAGTTTTCCCTTTTCAGGAATGTGGTTGTCAGTTGAAGAAGAAGGCGATATAAAATATAAATTAAGCAATGCCTATTTCAACAATAAGTTATAGACAAGGTATACGATATGGGTAAGGGAATGATTCTCGCCTGAATTTGCTGAAGGGATACATGTGGGCCGGGAACAAGACGTTTTGTCGGACCGGCCAGTTGATGTATATGAATAAATCGACAATGAAACACATAATGGATATAATATGATATATTTGCATGTTGCAACATTCTTACAAGGCTTGGCGTAATTAGGAATCTCCGTTGTACCAAATATAAATGGAATAAATGATAACTCAATGTTCATATTTTATCAAGTTTCGACCAAGTTCAGTCTTAAAATAAACTAACCTAATATGCACGTAATATTCAGAACAGAATCAAGCCATAATGTATTGTGAATATAGAGTGAATATACGACAGACAGAACAAACCGAAGTTTACGTAGATGTTGTAAGGTCATGCAACACCGTTTTGGAACATAGAAAGGGTCACCAATGTCTGTGCAAAATATCACAGTGTATGTACATCGATTCATTTGATCGCCTCGAACAAATAAACCTTCGTATAAATTCTAAGTGAAACTTATGAGGTTAAGAAAACCTACTAATCTGACAGGTGGGTCGTTGATATTCATCTGTACCTTGACAACTGAAGCTCGATCCTATCCTAGTACACGTCCCTCCGTTTGCGCAGGGATGGGGAAGGCATCTATCCACTGAAAATTGGAATTACGAATACCAAGACATGCAATGCATTTAAAATAAATCTCCAAAACACTGTTTACCGGGAAATGAACACTAAAGCTTTGATTGTTGTGGAAAATTACATACACGTTCATATAAGATCTTTGTGTTTTTAACTTGGACTTAAATGACCCGACACGATGACATTACATTTCGAGTTAGCCCGTTAATTATTATCTAAAGACGTGTACTAAAACATGGACTGATCTCATACGGGTACATCTGGTCGAATGTAATGTTCTGACTTCAAATGTATGGGCTAGTTCCTTGTCTTTAGAAAACACGTATATATACCCACAGATATGTTGAATTATAGAACAACCATAGGCCAACACGTTAATTCAGTGTAATGGTGTTCAATTTTACATAAAGTGTTAAGGCGAACTGTTAGACCAGACAAGATTAAGAATACTAGAAAATAGTTTCACATTTTTACACAATGCAGTTGTATGCCTTGACGACTAGTTGTGGCTAATGTCACATTTCTTGAAACTCTGTCATCTATAAACAGTTGTCATTGTAAAATTGCTTCAAATAATCGCTTATGACAATCAACTTATCGTTATAAGTATTTACATATATTTATGATTATGAACATTTCTTAAAACTTTCCTGAAATCAATAAAGTCTTTATCTAATGTCAGTTAACGTATAAAGGTTGTACCGCAGGGCTAGTACATAAAATGACACTATGATAGTTTTTATGTTAACCGATTTATGATATAATGTATATTAACATTTCTGAAGTATTATGAGAATGTCTAAGTGGTGTGTCGTTTTAATAATAAAATTTTCGATAATAAAATAAGATTAAAACAAACCCCAAAACTAAGGTATTTCTATTTTATTACATTAACTGAAATCAACAATATCTTACTAGCGTGCGCATATATGACAAGGTAACAATCCAAAACCAACAATTTATTAATAGAGTGTGTGTATACGGTAAGACAACAACAATAACAAAGGAACACAACCCAACACCAATCAATATAAAAATCTTAAACGAAATCAGACGCTAAAGCAGGCTCAGCATGCCGGGAATCAGCGTGGTGTTCCTCGTCTGTGTACAACTTAACACGAAGTATAGCAATAAGTGCATAGCAATCAATGCAAACAATACTAGCAAGCATGTTGAAATGTTTAAAGCGAAAGGAAAATATCAAATAAAAGCATATTTAAACAAAAACAAGTAGAATGAGGCAGGGTTCCATTTAAAGTACATATTACAAGAGTACAGTGAGCTATAGTTTGGCACCAAACCTTTGATCATTATTGTATTCCTACAAAAGATACGTCGTGCAATTCATACCTTCCAATGATGTCTCGATGTTTACAGTAACTCAGAAATGATTGTGGAACGACTGCCGTTGTACACGTTTTATTATATCTAATCTGACGTGATATAGTAAAATTAAACAAAGCAATACCAAGCATGAATAAATATTAAACTCTTGAAATATGGTATTTCATAAAACATTAGCGTTCACTCTTTTTCCCTCTCTATGATCACGGCGTGGACTCGATGATATGGTTACGATCGGTATGGTATATGTAAAGGAATGAAAAGGAATACACTACGAATCTGGAATAGCATCCCCGTTACCCCAGGAGATACGCTCACTTTCGCCCTCTGCACCCCTGGAATATGTCATAGCAAATTAATCCTTTGGTGTACTGTAAACGTGGTTATTTACGCTGGATGAAAATAACGCGATTTGAAGGACAAAACTATACGCGCGGGGGTAATTTACGCGGTCGCGTTAGACCAACGTTTACACTGCAGAGTTATCTCCCTTACTTTACAAAATGTGTACAGGTACAAATACTAGTATCTACTGAGTACATGTTACGTATGCGTATCGACTGGTCATTAGACAGATGAAAATGAAGATGAACTGTATTCATGTGTATGTGTGTGTCTTATACCAGCTGATCTCGTAATCAACTGGGATCAAACAGGTGAGTGCTATTTAGTCAAAACAAACACGTTTTCCAAATAATGATAAAACCATACCCTTTTCGTAAGTTATCGTAACTCATCAAGCGCAGTTAATGTCGCTTCCATGATGACAGGGGCATTTACCTGTGTAGGGGTTGTTGGACACGACTACTAGCTGTTTGTGTCTCGTAGACACGTGTTAGTGATGTGTACCGGATCCGATGCACCCAATTTATTCACGACTTTCTCTGTGCCTTTATATATATTTTCAAATTAGTTTTACATTAAAAACTTCAATTAATCAAGTAGTTTATTTCAGTTGTTATTGTTTTTATTGTATACCTTTAAAAGACAATGTACGTTAATTAGTAATACGTTAACAAAGCAATAGTACAGGAGGACATCACACACACACATGTACCAATATCTATCAGAGTTGTCGTTCCTTACACTATCGAAGAAAACCATATGCGCGGGGGAAAATTACGCGCTTAATATTTCACGTTAACATTACATCAAAAGAATCTCGCGGTCGTGTAACGGTAAAACTTATTGGCTTTGAAGGCAGGCGTCGGTCCTCGGTAATTTTCAAAGAAAAAATTTCAGCCTAGTGATTGGTCAGGTTTTTGTTACCTGACACCAATCAAATAGTTAGCCGCGTGCCTTAAGTTTTGCTATGACATATTTCAGGGGTGCAGAGAGCGAAATTGAGCGTAACCCCAGGATATCAAGGATGCTGGAATAGCAGCTTATAGGGATATAGACGCATATCAGTCAACTACATTCATTATTAATGTTAGTATGATATTCTATGGCGCCTTTCGTTGTATGAACATTGAAGAGTTCCAATATTAACATACGAAGAGTAATATCTGCTCGAGTATATCTCATTATCCAAACGCAACACATATACCAAAGATATTTTAAAATATGTATATAAATTGGGCTAATGAATAAACACGTGCATTCTAGCAAAATTAAACCTCGAATTATGCACAAATATTTCTATTAAAATCGCTTTCATTAGCATTACTGCATCATATCAATATTGAAATTCAGTTTAACATCAACAGTCAGAAGAATATAGGGCACTTTTTGTCAATTTAAAGTATGACTGATGCGTGATGCGTTAATCAACTGTTCTGTTCGCTGAAAGATGTTTATTATGGAGTGCGTTGATAAGATTTACCGTGAAAGTGATACAACCGTCGTCCGTGATAGTCACTGTCTTTCTAGGTACATATATAAGCACTGATAGAAATAGCCAGATTATGCAAGATAATTTGATGTGAGCCTAGTGGTGGATAATAATTTATGTTTTATCGTAGGTATGTGAGTTGGTATAGACTGAGGATAAATGAAACGAGATAAGAAATGGCACGTTATGTTAGTAACATAAACAGACAATATTTCCTCGCACCTCAGACAGGGATATCCCACGTGATACGGACACCTTTACGCGATATATCCTGGAATTTTCACAAAGCGATGTAATTCATTCGAGCGCTAACGCAAATTATACTGTAAGAATCCTGAAGTTGTAGATAAAATATAATTTGCAATTTGAAATACGTTTTCTTCTTTGTGAGGTCGGAATGCATTGTTTACGCGGAAGAATTCAAACGTAGCTTTAGTAGTGAGGAGGCCACATTATTGAGGCGGCATACTTGTAGATGAAAACGTGAGACTAAAAGTGCGAAAACAAATTACCTGTAACTAAGCGACATTTCAGTATCTGGCTAAGATTCTGTAATATAATGTATAACAGACAAAGATAACCTAATTTCGCTCAGCTACATGTAATATTAGTTATATAACCTTTTAGTAATCTACTGTCGAATGTCAAAGATATCTATAGGACATTCCACGTGCGTTGTCTGTGCCACAAGAGCACTAAATCGAACTAAATTGGCGTCCTCTTCTATATAATACACGTCACTAGCTCGCTCTGCTACAGAATATACAGTGACAAGGTCTGCTGATCTTCCAACGGGAACAAATACTACTAGCACATTGTCCATATTCAGAGCCTGCCTCTCTCGTAAGATACCATCCAAGTCAGTCCAGCCCTCGTTAGAGAACAACACTAAGATTTTCCGGGCGTCTGGTCGATTGTTATTAAACCCTTTTCTCACGGGCAAACGTTAAGGCAGCGGTTATATTTGACTTTTGGTTTGTCGTTGCAAGACCGATCTGGCTGTTGAGAAGGATCTTGTCTCGATCTGTATATTGATTAAGGTTAAACTTGAATGTAGCTGTCAAGTCGAACGGGACCATGCCGACTTGAGTATTTGGGTTATAGTCCAGTGCTTTGTATAGCAGGTCCTTAAGTGCATCCAGCGTTTGTTGTAGAACAGTCTGATGCTTAGAAATATCAACCATAAACACCATGACCGTCATTGTGTTGAGTAAACAATCTGTAAAAAAAGAAATATCAAATACACTATTATTGTTGAGCTTTCTGCAGCAATTACTTAAAGACGTGTATGATTGATTAAATGTTAACTATTTGTTTTAGATTCAATAATTTAATCAACTTCGACATTTTGGGTTTTCTTTATTCTTTTGTTTCTTAGGTATATAAAATAACGAACATGTATAAAATTCTACAGATGTTATAAAAACAGAAACCAGACAGTTGGAATATTTCGTTAGAAATTATATTTTAAGTTTTTAATGAAAGTACCTCTAAACAAAGAATCAATACAAGAATATTATTCATTCAATGTGAGTGGAACAATTACCTGTACAGCTAGTGTTCACGGTCTCTATAAGGATGACATTTGTGGTATCCTCCTCCTTCCCCCCTGAAAATACATATTGGCTGGCTGTAGCTAACTGGAGCAGTTCCGTCTGGTCTACTTGCTCTCCATTTCCAACGGTTAGAACTTTAATCCCTCGACTTTTCAATGTTTGAGCGCCTTGTACTGCTTCCGGTCTCAGAGTAGAAAGCCCGTCAGAGACTATAATTAGGTACTGAAACACCTGTGCTCGAGCCCCATAGGATGACGAAATACCAAATACCTGTAACGGTAGCAGACATTTACATGTACATACAATGAATATATAAACTTTATTTATTTTACAAGTATGACACAAGTTTTTCCATCTTACATTAATCATTCTTGTTGGCCTGAAGGCGGTCTTAATGTGGGAGTAAACTGAAGTACCCGGAGGAGCCCTACGTGATCAGGCGGATGACCAAATACTTTTTCACGTTCAATCGAGAAGAGAATTCCTGCCGTCTTGATGAAAGGCGAGTGCGTCCACTGATGCATTCCACATAAATACATTTTAACCGTGAAAAGTAACGGTTAAATAAAATTTGCCAACGTATTAACACGTAACAATATAGTTTTGTTTACAAGGATATCATAATACATGGATGTCGTATACCGTCTTACCTCATTCGCTTTTTTTAAGGCCTTGTCGACGTAGGAGGGTCCCATGGTAGGTGATATGTTATCAATGGCGAAGACCAAATCTGCTTTGTATGTGTAGGTACTAAAGGAAAACTCCATGGTTGCATCAAATGAATATTTAATGACTGCTATTTGAAAATCATCGGCTCCTATAGGTAACTTATTGACGACTGCCGTGACAGTTGCTTTTGAATCGTTGAAATGTTTCTCCGTACTAAACGAGGCATCGATTATGAACAGGATATCTGCCGGCCCAGGCCTGCAATCTGTAATGTTTAAAGATGTCTTGACATTAGTGAGTAATTTAAGGTACATTGTGTAGAGCTATCATTCAGACCAGATTTTATAACAAATAAAAACCTGCCGGGATCCTTACCCATAAAATTAAGACTTTTGAGAGATTGAATTATTTTACCGAAACGAAAACAGAAACAGATAATAGGGATAAACAGAAGTGGCAAGACAATAAGTTATTTTGTACGACATTTGGACAATGGAGTTGTCATCAATCACTTATAAATGCCATTGAAGATAGACCTGTTAAGTAAATAGCAGGGTCGTGTTACCTATTTCACAAGTAGTTCCTTGGTATCTATTGGTACAGGCACAGTTAAAGTTGTTCGTGTCCCGGTCACATGTTCCGCCATTTACACAAGGGACACTAAGGCAGGCGTCAACTAAAAAACAGTAAAGTATAACACATGAGGCATACAAAAACGGCGATAAACATTTGCTTTATGATAAATCTTCAGAAAATCCCATACGAATAAAACAAACAGAACGTTTCAGGTCAACGCCAAGGCCAATAAAACGATGTTTACGTAGATGCTGTTAGGTCAGTCAACACCGTTCTGGGACAAAGAAAGGGTCGCCAATATCTGTGCAAAAAGTCAAAGTGTATGTACAAAAAAAACTTCGAATAAATTCTATGAGAACGTTTTGAGGTTAAAAAAACAGACGAAGCTGACAGGTAGGTCGTTGATATTCATTTGTACAGTGACAACTGAAGTCCGATCCTATCCTGGTACACGTCCCTCCGTTTTCACAGGGATGGGAAAGGCATCTATCCACTGAAAATTGGAAATACAAAAGCCAAGACATGCAATATATTTAAAATAAATCTCCGCAATACTGTTTCCAAGAAATGGACGCAAAAGCTTATCTTTCCCCTTTTGCTGTCCTTTATGTATCATCTTGAATGAATATTGTTGATATTAAATGAATATACAAATAATAGCAAATAAAAATGGAATTTTGGCCAAAACAAGATAAATGCGACAGTGAAGGGCGACAATTTACATTACAGGGTACATAACTAGTGAAAAAAGAACAACATTTTTTAATAAAGAATTGTTTTTATAGTAGCATAAAAAACTAGTATAGCTGTGTTTAACAGTATAAAGTTGTTCCATGCCTTATCAGTCAACAGTCAAAACTTTGCGGCCTCGGGAAACAGTTCATCTGGTGGGTCCCAACTCCACGGGAAAGTGGTTGACTGTTGACTGATAAGGCATGAAACAACTGATAAGGCATGAAACAACTTTTTTGTTACTCGACCAATGAAAAACAAAAGTTCGATGTCGAGTGTGATGTTTAGATCTACCGACAGACGACCGTCAACAATCCAGTACCAAAAACGCTTAATCACCGGGGTGCTTGTAATTATAGGTGCTATTCTAATATCATGACTACATTTGTCTCTCTTTGCCCAGCATTTGTATTTATAGTTTTGGGGTGGGGATCTCAACCGTTTCGAAGTTATGACCCAGGGGTTAAGGCTGCAAGGGTGGGACAGACCCTTGGGTAAATTCCAATAGCATGACTGCATTTGTCTCTTTATGTCCAACAATTGTATATATATAGTTTTGGGGTGGGGATCTTAACCGTTTCGAAGTTATGACCCAGGGGTTAAGTCTCCAAGAGTGGGGTAGACCCCAAGGCCATCCTGGAAGCGTATGTGCATTCATCTTTTAATACTCAGCAATTGTATATGGTTATAGGGTGGGGATCTCAACTGTTTCCAAGCTGTGACTAAGAAACTACGTCCGTAGGAGTTTGCTCAGACCCCAGGTCAATTCTAATATCATGATTGCATTCGTCTCTTTATGCCCAGCATTTGTATATAGAGGTTTTGGGTTTTTGTGTGGGGATCTCAACTGTTTCAAAGTTATGACCCAGGGACTATGTCTCCAAGGATGGGGCCAGACCCCAGGGCCATCCTGGAAGCAAATGTGCATTATTTTCTTTATACTCAGCAATTGTATATATATGGTAATACGGTGGGGATCTCAACCATTTCCAAGTAATACACCTTTTTTGGCCCCACCCCTTAGCCCGGGGGGTTCAGCCCCACTATTTGTACAAGTTTGAATCCCTGCCTCCCATGAATGCTTCCGACAAAATATGTTTGATATCCATGACATAGTTCTACAGAGGAAGTCGTTTATAGCAATATAGCCAAATTTCCTCCCTTTGGCCCTACCCCTCAGCCCCACCATTTGTACAATTTTGAGTCCCCACCACCTTGCTATATAGGGATGCTTCCAGTCAAATAGTTGATATCCATCTCTTAGTTCCAGAGAAGAAGCCGCTTAAAGCAATATAGTCAAATAACCCTTTTTGGCTTCTGACCAAATATGATTGATATTTTGAATCTCCACCACCTAGGGATGCTGCCAGTCAAATTTAGTTAACTAGGGGGCCGGAAAAACTTGATTAAAACAAGAGGCCCAATGGGCCTGTATCGCTCATCTGCTTCTAATGCAACTGTATTAAGACTTTAGGTCATAAATGTGGATGCTAAGCTGATTACCACTTTATTCAAATATATGAACAGGATAGGTTTATTTATTTAAGTAACTTTTGTAGCCCTTCATTCCAGCATACTACTGGCCCAATATCAGGTCTCTGGGTCTCTTTGTTATTAAGTCATTATAGGCTATTTGACCCCCGTGACCTCGAAAATAGGTCCAGGTCATTCATTTAAAGAAAGTTGGTAGCCTTCACCCCAGCATGTTGAAAGCTCAATATCAGGTTTCTGGGCTTCTTGGTTATTGCGAAGAAGTTGTTTAAAGATTTTAGCCTTTTTGACCCCTGTTACATTGAATGTAGGTCAAGGTCATTCATTTGAACAAACATTGTAGCCCTTCACCCCAGCATGCTACAGGCCCAATATCAGGTGTCTGGGCCTCTCTGTTATTGAGAAGAAGTTGTTTAAAGGGGAAAGTTGACGGACGCCGCACCACGGCAAAAGCTCATTTGCCCTTCGGGCAGGTGAGCTAAAAATATAGGTCAGTGACCTACTTTTGATACATGACACACCGTCCCACCTGAGTAAACTCATGCCCCAGGTATGAAGTTACAATGGCAAGGAGTCGGGTAAAACACAATAATGGGTCCAACTGTGTGCTCTGACAGTGAAACACAAGAGACCCAGAGGGCATGTATCGCTCACCTGAATATGTTTAAAATAATTGGTATGAAGTAAATATATAGCATTCCATGGTAGGTGCTGTAAGTACATATGAAATTTAGAAAGATCCATCCAGTTCTTGAGATAAAACGGGAGCAAACTTCAATCTGAGCCCCACCCCTATGCCCTAGGGGGGTCATACCCACCGTTTATACAATATTGTGTCTCCTTGGCCCAAGGATGCTCCAGACTAAATAAGGATAAAATCCCATAATCCCAATGGTCGAAGATGGATTTTAAAGGTTTTACCTCTATTTCTCCTATTGTGCCCCACCCTTCTGCCCCCTGGGAGACCACATACACTGCTTATACAAAATTGAGTCCCCTTGGCCCAAGGATGCTCCAGGCTAAATTAGGATAAAATCCCTTAATCCCTATGGTAGAAGAAGGATTTTAAAGTTTTACCTCTATTTTCCCTATTGGGCCCAACCTCTCTGCCTCCAGGGCGGTCAAAAAAAACCCGTTTATTAAATATCAGTTGTGCAAAAAAGGCTTAAATTTGAAGTGTAACAGAATAATGTCCGAAATTGCCACATTTTCCATACATTATTATACACATCCCCCCCCCCCCCCCCCCCCCCGGGAATGCACTGGCATCTGCATCTGTATGTTGCTGTCTAATGGTGGAGGATAGCCACTGTGTCTTCTATAGAGTTTAAGCCTATTCAGTACTCACTAAATCAGTATATTTTACAAATAAAACACGACTGTTTCTGAAAGATAAGCCTATGCCTATATGCTGCCTTTCATTTGAGGTTTTAGCTATACTTACAAATTGCATCAGCAGCACCGCTTCGTTCGTCAGAAATGGCGGTATTGACGTAGAAACATGGCAGAAAGAGGCCACGGTGAAAAGTTCCGTTTACTTCGGATTCGCGGAGACTTTTGTCAGAATTGTATCAAACGTATAATGAAGTTGTACAATAATATTAATGAAGTTGTGCAAGCATCATGATGTTTGTGAATAATATGATGACGGATTGGTATAATGATAAAATATCGAATAACATAACGATTACACTAAATCATATAATGACGAAAGCATATACTATGATGTTGAAACTAAATAATATAATGATAAAGTTCAATCATATATTGATGAAATCGAATAATATAACGATACAACCAAATCATATCACAACAACAGCGTGTATATAATGGTGAAACCAAATCATATAACGATAATATCAAATCATATAATGATAAAATCAAATAATATAATGATGAAAGCTTTAAATACAATGGAAACCAAATCACATAATGATGAAATCAAATAATATAATGATGATATGAAATAATATAATGATAAAATCGAATAATATAATGATAACATCATATACTATAATGATAAAATCAAATCACATAATGATGAAATCCAATAATATAATGATGATATCAAATAATATAATGATATAATCGAATAATATAATGATAACATCATATAATATAATGAAAATATCAATTTATATAATATTTTTATGCCATATGTGATAGCTATAGCGTTCCATAGATATTTATCTAAAAAGTGTCCCGATTTCGGTACAGTAACGCTAGGGTTTAGCGTCCTGTTAACTGTTAATGTAATTAAAGTGCGGTTCCCCAGGTGTGTAATGCAATGGTAAGGACCTCATGCAAAACAATTTAGTGCTATTACCTTACTGAACAATGCACACAACATATTCATCCACCAGTCACTTTTTACTGACAAAAGACTTGCAAGTTATTGCAGGTATACCGGTTACTGATATTAAACTACTACCATTGTTAAGGACTTTGGTGTGATCCGGCTACTAGACATAACCCCATTTTGTCGATGGCTCAACTCTAAGGTCAAAAGTAAGATATTGTCAAGAAGGAGCTAGGAAACATAAAACGTAGTAAGTATAGCTGACACATAAATGCATACATTGCACACATCGAACAACGTCTTTTGTTAAACCTAGCTGTTTATAGGACGCTTAATTGCATAAAACCAACACCAAACAAAACCAGGTAAATTGTGCCAACTGACAGCCAGCCCTCAACAAAGTTCAGGTCCGTTAGACTTGTGGTATCTATGTTTAAGGACCTGATGCAAAACAATTTAGTGCTACTGCCTTACTAAACAATGCATGTTGCTAACTTGACTATTTAGAACGATGTGTGCACGGTGTGAGAACGATGTGTGCACGGTGTGTGAACGATGTGTGCACGAAGTGCGAACGGTAAAAAATTGGACGATAATTGCTTGCGCACATTTGTGCGGACTAAGGACGAACGTTGTGCGATAACAATCGTGGTTGTTGTAAATTGAGGAATGCCTTAACAATATATACGGCGTCGTGCATGTGTTTAAATACATAAACTTGGCTATTTAGTATGTTTCTATAATCTAGCTACATCCATAAGCTTATCATTCTCTCGAAACTTTCTTAAATTTAGAAATGATGTCTCGGTGGTTTTTAAACAACCTAAATCGACACATGTAAAATTGCAACTCTGTAATGTTTAGACGGCAACTCCTAGAATGGCCTTCTTATAATGTATCTTTCCGTTTATTGTTGCACACCAAATTATTCGGAGAAACGAAGATCCCGTGCTATAACACTCCTTCTGTCAATTTCAAAGGTTTTTGGTTTTTATGTCGATTTTGTCTGTATCATAAAGAGAAATGTGCGGACTGATACGAAGTTCGTTACGTTATGGTACTCAACTAATTACATCCAAAGGTGTTTGAGATCCTGAAATTGTGTATAGTTTAAGGTTATAAAACGCCTAAGGCATGGTTTCGTAATGAAGCGTTACCAAAGTTTTAACAACCACTTCCTGGACAGTACCGGAAGAAAGCACACTACGTCAGTTCACTTTTGGCTAGAATATAATAGGGTTACAGGTCTAGAACGCATATGCGTTTCGTTATCCGAAAATATGTAATTGATGCAACTGTTATTTTACTTACTTCATAAACGATCGAGCTAATAAATTGAATTGTTGCCAAATAACTAGTGGATTGTTTTGCGTGTTAGTTTATAACTTTTACTTACCATTATCACAGTTCCTCCCATAAAACCAATTTGCACAAGTACATGTGTAATTCCTTCCAGTATAATGGCACGTGGCTCCATTTTTACAAGGCTGGCCGTAACAGTGACTTTCTGATGTAAAGTAAAAGCACACTTCTTTTTTTTTCGCTTAGAAAAAAAAATCTGATATTATTGATATTACATGATATCGTCATTGTGAATATTTATCATATTATCACTGAAGTGATTAGTGTTTTGACTCAATAATGCCTGCAATATGCAGGGCAGATTCTAATTAATTACGTATTGTTAATTTTAAAGCAAAGAAGTAATAGCGACAGTGTTGACAATATATATGTTTGTTTTGTTATGTGTTTAGTTCTTGAAGCGATCTTCTTCTCATCAAGACTCTTTTTTTACCAAATAGCATTAAACATGTAATTAGAACGACATTATGTTTCGGTTACACCGTGTGTATGGGATTGGCTTTAGGGAAATTTTGAAATAATAAGAAAATGGAGCGTTAAGATAAGTTGGGTTTCAAAGCGTAGCTGCTTATACGCTGGTATGTAGGCAATTGTTATTTATTTCATGGCGGGGTATCCGTAAATATGCACAGCAATATTCAATGTTACCAATAACGACTGCTGTCAAGACATATTCCTGAAAAAGGTGTTATTAACCAATATGTTTCAAGTTGCCTTTCCTATCTCTGCCAATATAATTTCAAGAATATTGCATGCTATTGTTATTGTGAAATACTTGTTTTATTATGCTACCATTTAAAGTTTTGAAGTACAATATTTTAACTAATACCCTAACCATACATTGAAAATAGAGAGCAGATTCAAAATAAATTGGATTGCTAGTTAATAATGAATGTGAAATAAAACGATGGAGCTAACTGATAGGTTTTCATATAGTTACGTCAGAAAACATCGTCGCGGTACATATATCTTGTATGTGTATAAATCGTACAATTTGTTCCCCTTGAAAAGATATTCCTTGGGGAAACGCTTACTGAACATGAAGAGATTAAGAAAACTTACGAAGCTGACAGTTGGTTCCTTGGTATTCATTTGTACAGCCACAGTTGAAGTTTGATCCTGACCTGGTACACGTCCCTCCGTTTAAACAGGGATGGGATAGACATCTATCCTCTGGTAAGTATGAGGGTGCATTGATTGAAAATATCATTTTCTTTCATAAAAACACTCATCACTATCGGGATTGTTCATATATGTATTATAGAGATATGTGCATCTAATGAAATATGAAATAGAATATTGAAATTGTAACACGGTGCAAATGTACAGATTGATGACCATAAGCGTTGTTTAAAACATTATATGCCATTTAAGGACGGACACACTAGTGTTTGGATTTGTTGGGTACCGTCCCTGTACCCAAATCGGGTATTTGGGGTAAACTGTCATTCAATGGAAAGAAGAACGTTTATGCATACAGTTTTCGTTTGATTATATTTTTCCCGCCAAGTAAACTGTATTACGCTTTACTGGCTGCTGATTATTGTTACATGGACAATATAAAGGTAAGCATAATTACCAAAAGAAGATTTTCCTGATTTACGTGCCGCACGTGCGACGCTTTTTATTTGGATATCATTTTCGAAAGTCTATTTTATCAAAACTAATGCTCGTTTGGAGAATGAATTTAATAAGAACCCTCGTTGACTCTAAAATATTTCAACTATGCATAGTTTCTGCCGATATTGATCGTTTATTCACAAATATTTGCCAAAATATCGGAAGTGTTCCGTTAAGGGTACAGTAACGCCAGTTTAAGGCCCTACATAACTGATGGTATCTCGCGTTCCTTTTATAGAACCACGCGCCCGAAATATCAAATTGTGATAGAAATGAAAAGTGGATAATATCTATTTATGAACGTAGTTGAAATTGAATTGTTGCCAAATAACTAGTGGATTGTTTTGCGTGTTAGTTTATAACTTTTACTTACCATTATCACAGTTCCTCCCATAAAACCCATTTGCACAAGTACATGTGTAATCCCCTCCAGTATATTGGCACGTGGCTCCATTTTGACAAGGCTGGCCGTAACAGTGACTTGCTGATGTAAAGTAAACGCACACTTCTATTTTTTTTCGCTTAGAAAAACAAATCTGATATTATTGATATTACATGATATCGTCATTGTGAATATTCATCATATTATCACTGAAGTGATTAGTGTTTTGACTTTTAACCTTTTTTCTCAATAATGCCTGCAATATGCAGGGCAGATTCAAATTAACTACGTATTGTTAATTTTAAAGCAAAGAAGTAATAGCGACGGTGTTGACAATATATATATTTGTTTTGGTATGTGTTTAGGTCTTGAAGCGATCTTCCTCTCATCAAGACTCTTTTACCAAATAACATCAAACATGTAATTAGAACGACATCATGTTTCGGTTACACAGTGTGTGTGGGATCGCCTTTAGGGAAATTTTGAAATAATGAGAAACTGGAGCGTTAAGATAAGTTGGGTTCAAAGCGTAGCTGCTAATACGCTGGTATGCAGGCAATTGTTATTTATTTCATTGCGGGTTATCCGTAAATATGTACGTCAATATTCAATGTTACCAATAACGACTGCTGTCAAGACATATTCCTGAAAAAGGTGTTTTCAACTAATATGTTTCAAGTAGCTTTTCCTATCTCTGCCAATATGATTTCAAGAATATTGCATGCTACTGTTATTGCGAAATACTTGCTTTATTCTGCTACCATTTAAAGTTTTGAAGTACAATTGTTGAACTAATACCCTAACCATACATTGAAAATGAAGAGCAGATTCAAATGAAATGGTATTGTTACATGTAGTTAATAATGAATGTGAAATAAAACGATGGAGCTAGCTGGACGATTTTCACATAGTTACGTCAGAAAACATCGTCGCGGTACATATATTGTATGTGTATAAAACGTACAATTTGTTTCCCTTGAAAAGATATGCCTTGGGAAAACACTTACTAAACTTAAAGAGATTAAGAAAACTTACTAAACTGACAGTTGGTTCCTTGGTATTCATTTGTGCAGCCACAGTTGAAGTTTGATCCTGACCTGGTACAAGTCCCTCCGTTTAAACAGGGATGGGAGAGACATCTATCCACTGATAAGTATGAGAGTGCATTGATTGAAAATATAATTATCTTTTTATTATGTAAAATAGAAGAGTGAGATGGTAACACGGTGAGAATGTACAGATTGATGACCATAAGCGTTGTTTAAAACATTATATGCCATTTAAGGACGGACACATTAGTGTTTGGATTTGTTGGGTACCGTCCCTGTACCCAAATCGGGACAGTACCCAAAATGGGACACCTGTGGAAAAGCGGCCCAAGAAACTGTCATTCAATGCAAAGAAGAACGTTTATGCATACAGTTTTCGTTTAATAATATTTTTCCCGCCAAGTAAACTGTATTACGCTTTATTGGCTGCTGATTATCGTTACATGGACAATATAAAGGTAAGCATCATTACCAAAAGAAGATTTTCCTGATGTACGTGCCGTGCGACGCTATTTATTTGGATATCATTTTCAAAAGACTATTTTGTCAAAACAAATGCTCGTTTGGAAACTAAATTTAATCAGAACCCTCGTTGACTCTAAAATATATTTTAACTATGCATAGTTTCTGCCGATATTGATCGTTTATTCCCAAATACTTGCCAAAATATCGGAAGTGTTCCTTTAAGGGTACAGTAACGCCAGTTTAAGGCCCTACATAACTGATGGTATATCGCGTTCCTTTTATAGAACCACGCGCCCGAAATATCAAATTGTGATAGAAATGAAAAGTGGATAATATCTATTTATGAAAAATGAACAAACATTTTGGGAACTGATAGTATGTTATAAAAAATATCGATATTTATCTAAAAAGTGTCCCGATTTGGGTACAGTAACGCTAGGGTTTAGCGTCCTGTTAACTGTTAATGTAATTAAAGTGCGTTCCCCCAGGTGTGTAATGCAATGGTAAGGACCTGATGCAAAACAATTTAGTGCTACTACCTTACTGAACAATGCACACAACATATTAATCCACCAGTCACTTTTTACTGACAAAAGACTTGCAAGTTATTGCAGGTACACCAGTTACTGATATTAAACTACTACCATTGTTAAGGACTTTGGTGTGTTCCCGCTACTAGACATAACCCCATTTTGTCGATGGCTCAACTCTAAGGTCAAAAGTAAGATATTGTCAGGAAGGAGCTAGGAAACATAAAACGTAGTAAGTACGTAGAGCTGACGCATAAATGCATACATTGCACACATTGAACAACCTCTTTCGTTAAACCTAGCTGTTTATAGGACGCTTAATTGCATAAAACCAACACCAAACAAAACCAGGTAAATTGTGCCAACTGACAGCCAGCCCTCAACAAAGGTCAGGTCCGTTACAGTTGTGGGATCTATGTTTAAGGACCTGATGCAAAACAATTTAGTGCTACTACCTTACTAAACAATGCATGTTGCTAACTTGACTACTTAGCACGATGTGTGCACGGTGTGTGAACGATGTGTGCACGGTGTGTGAACGATGTGTGCACGAAGTGCGAACGGTAAAAAACTGGACGATCATTGCTTGCGCACATTTGTGCGGACTAAGCACGAACGTTGTGCGATAACAATCGTGGTTGGTGTAAATTGGGGAATGCCTTAACAATATATACGGCTTCGTGCATGTGTTGAAACACATAAACTTGACTATTTAGTATGTTTCTATATTCTAGCTACAGCCATAAGCTTATCACTCTGTCTATACTTTCTTAAATTTAGAAGTGGTGTTCTCGGTGTTTTTTAAACACATGTAAAATTGCAACTCTGTAATGTTTAGACGGCAACTCCTAGAATGGCCTTCTTATAATGTATCTTTCCGTTTATTGTTGCACACCAAATTATTCGGAGAAGGTTTTTATGTCGATTTTGTCTGTATTATAAAGAGAAATATGTGGACTGATACGAAGTTCGTTACGTTATGGTACTCAGCTAATTACATCCAAAGGTGTTTGAGATCCTGAAATTGTGTATAGTTTAAGGTTATAAAACGCGTAAGGCATGGTTTCGTAATGAAGCGTTACCAAAGTTTTAACCATCACTTTCTGGACAGTACCGGAAGAAAGCACACTACGTCAGTTCACTTTTGGCTAAAATATAATAGAGTTACAGGTCTAGAACGCATATGCTTTTCGTTATCCGCTAATATGTTGTTGATGCAAATGCCATTTTACTTACTTTATAAACGATCGAGCTAAGAAATTGAATTGTTGCCAAATAACTAGTGGATTGTTTTGCGTGTTAGTTTATAACTTTTACTTACCATTATCACAGTTCCGCCCATAAAACCCATTTGCACAAGTACATGTGTAATTCCCTCCAGTATATTGGCACGTGGCTCCATTTTGACAAGGCTGGCCGTAACAGTGACTTGCTGATGTAAAGTAAACGCACACTTCTATTTTTTTTCGCTTAGAAAAACAAATCTGATATTATTGATATTACATGATATCGTCATTGTGAATATTCATTATATTATCACTGAAGTGATCAGGCGCGTAGCTACCATGCAAGCCAATAAGCCCGGGCTTGCACATGATTTTCACAAGTATAGGTTTTCATGACATTATTTTTTCTTGCTGATACTATAAAGTGGAGTTTAAGTTTTGAATATATAGTATACATATGTAATTCCTCAGATATGATACAGTGTTAATAGTTAGTACAAAACTGTATGAAGTTTAGAAATGTCCATTGCATTAATGGACAGTTCCAGGCGGAACTAAACAGCTCGATTGAGTAAATTGAGAAACTCACGCCTGGCGCAAACGACTCCGAGTATGGCACAGTGGACACAGACAATCAATGTGGTTTTTTT